GCATGACCATGCACGGTGGTATAAGAGAGATGTTACAATATTTACGACGAGAATTGTGGATTGTGCACGCACGAGTCCTGGTCAAGAGCTGCATACATCGATGTAGAACCTGCAGGCTGCAGCAACAAGTCATGCAACAACAACAAATGGCTGATCTTCCCCGCTATCGAGTTTTAGTGGCAACCCCGTTCTCTAATACAGGGCTAGATCACGCCGGGCCGTTCCTGGTCCGCCATGGTGGCAAAAGTTCCTTCGCTACCACCAAGGCGTATGCCGTGATTCTCGGTTGTTATGTTCAAAAAGGCAGTGCAAATAGAGTTGGCAGAAGACCTAAGCACCAGAGCATTTCTAGATGTTTTTGATCGTTTTGTGGGTCGCCGAGGCTATTGCACCAACCTTTGCAGTGACAACGGCACACAATTTGTAGGTGCAAACCGCCAACTCCAATCCGAACTTTCGGAATGGATAAGTATCTACGCACAACAACAACTGTCTGATGCTGGGGTTCGCTGGCACTTTATCACTCCAGCCGCGCCCCATCAAGGATGCTTATGGGAGGCGGCAGTGCGTTCGGCGAAGAAGCACTTGAAACGGGTAGTGGGAGACAGCGTACTTACGTTTAATCAACTTAGTACCCTGCTGGTGCGCATTGAGGCCTTCCTCAACTCAAGACCCATAATTGCGCTCCACGATGATCCTGATGGTGGTCTCGCATTATCGCCTGGCAGTTTTCTCATCGACCGACCTTTGAACTCCCGTCCAGAACCCGCCTTTCCAGAGGCTCCAGATAATCGTCTTAAATACTATCAGCGACTTCAACGCATGCTGCAACATTTTTGGCACCGCTGGAAGGAAGAGTATTTGGTGCAACTTCAGGCTCGAAGTAAGTGGGCAAGACCTAAACCCAATGTTCGAGTTGGTGACATCGTGGCTATCCAGCAGGAGCATCTTCCCCCACCCCGCTGGCGAATTGGACGCATCACCGTGGTGTATCCGGGGAGTGACGGGCTAGTGCGAGTGGTCACCATCAAATATAGCACCTTTGACCGAGGACTGCACCGTAAGCATCACTGCCAGCGCCCAATCGAACAAATATGCCGTATTCTTGAGGCTGATGAAGGCATACTAA